CTTTATACAGTACCTCAATATATGCATCCACATTCATGAGAGTAACTTGAAGTTGAGACTGAGTTGATGACCATGTTACTATATAGGGATTTCTCAGATAATCTAAAACTATACTTGAATGTTCCACCAATTGCATAATTAGGGTTAGTCGGTTGAGTCCTAGACAGAATAGCAGACAAGACATAAGCAAGTTCTGACATTAGCCTCATCTATATTCAATAATTACAAGACAGTGAATATTAATAAAAAGTGATTATGACACAAGCTAGTTGAAGTCAGTGATCTGAGAGGCTTGCATATCAGCCATGCATGCTGAAGATTGAGCCAAGAAAAAAGAATTGTAAGAGTATTGTTCCTATAAACCTACCCAATTTTGTACTGTCACACCCAAAAGTTTTTTCGTCACATTTGGGATAATGTCAGAAAATTATGGATGATTTTATTGAAATTCAAAACTCTGAAAAAGTGGGTAATGTAAACAACTTCAAACCTGACTTATGACATTCACATTTGCAGAAAACAGTTATTATATATATATATATATATATATATATATATATATATATATATATATGCAAGAAAAAGAATTAAAACAAAGAAACAAATAAAAAAAATATAATGAAAAATAAAAAAAAAGATTTCTACTTACCCGGTACAACCTACTCTATTTTTGAAAAGCATGTTACAGGAGCAATTAAAACTTTTTTTTTATCTGTTTTTTTGAGTTCAAATCTCGCATGAAGCAATTTTTTCACTTTTTATACATATTTGAAATAAAATAAAATAAAAAAATAAAACAAATACAATAACTGGAAAAGGCAATAGATGTTTTTATTACATCGCAATGACCAAGAATGATATATTTTAACAGTACAGTACAACTGGAATACTTACATTTGCTATAGTTCATTATTTCTCTATTCAACTTACCAGCTTTTCCATAAAACAATCTATGTTTGTTTGACACAAACAAAATACTGTCAGAATAGTAATTTGATATTGAAGAAACAATCATTTCATTATCTGATAAACTTATTATTTGGGTAAAATAATTTCCACCATCCAATGATAACCACACCTACAGGAATCAAGAATAAAATTAATATGACATAACTGATTTACCATTAATATAGTACGGTAACTAGTAACCCATACTGAGTAACATATTAACAGGCTGACGAGTAACCCATATTAGGTAACCATATTAAGAGCCTGACTAGTAACCCATAATGGTAACCATATTAACAGGCTGACTAGTAACCCATACTGGGTATTAAACCATATTAAGCTGACTAGTTACCCATACTGGGTAACCGTATTAACAGGCTGACTAGTAACCACACTAACCATATCTAGTGACAAGTAGTCATATACCATCATAACATATAATGTAATCATAACATACCAACCACTAACCGCACACCAGGCTGACCAGTAACCCAAGATCAGTCTGCCCAGTAACCACACCCCAGGCTGACCAGTAACCACACACCAGACTGACTAGTAACCATACATCAGACTGCCTAGTAACCACACACCAGACTGACTAGTAACCATACATCAGACTGCCTAGTAACCACACCCCAGGCTGACTAGTAACCACACACCAGACTGACTAGTAACCATACACCAGGCTGACTAATAACCATACACCAGGCTGACTAACAACCACACCCCAGGCTGACTAGTAACCATACACCAGCTTGACTAGTAACCACACACTAGGCTGACTAGTAACCATACACTAGACTGATATGTAACCACACACCAGGCTGACTAGTAACCACACACCAGGCTGACTAGTAATCACACACCAGACTGACTAGTAACCATTCCCCAGGCTGACTAGTAACAACAACCCAGGCTGACTAGTAACCACACCCCAGGCTAACTAGTAACAATACACCAGCTTGACTAGTAACCACACACCAGGCTGACTAGTAACCATACACCAGACTGACTAGTAACCACACACCAGACTGACTAGTAACCATACACCAGCTTGACTAGTAACCACACACCAGGCTGACTAGTAACAACAACCCAGGCTGAATAGTAACCACACACTAGACTGACTAGTAACCACACCCCAGGCTGACTAGTAACCACACCCCAGGCTGACTAGTAACCACACACCAGACTGACCAGGAATCACACACCAGGCTGATTAGTAACCATACACCAGACTGCCCAGTAACCACACCCCAGGCTGACTAGTAATCACACACCAGGCTGACTAGTAACCATACCCAGGCTGACTAGTAACCACACCCCAGGCTGACTAGTAACCATACACTAGGCTGACTAATAACCACACACCAGACTGACTAGTACCCACACCCCAGGCTGACTAGTAACCACATACCATATTGATATGTAACCATACCCAAGTTGACTAGTAACCACGCCCCAGGCTGACTAGTAACCATACACCAGACTGACCAATAACCATACACCAGACTGACTAGTAACCATACAACCACACACCAGACTGACTTGTAACCACACACCAGACTGACTAGTAACCACACACCAGGCTTACTAGTAACCATACCCAGGCTGACTAGTAACCACACCCCAGGCTGACTATAGTAACCACACCCCAGACTGACCAGTAACCACACACCAGACTGACCAATAACCACACACCAGACTGACTAGTAACCACACACCAGACTGACCAAGAATCACACACCAGACTGACTAGTAACCATACACCAGACTGACCAATAACCACACACCAGACTGACTAGTAACTACACAACTACACACCAGACTGACTATGGTAACCACACACCAGACTGACCAGTAACCACACACCAGACTGACTAGTAACCACACAACCACACACCAGACTGACTATAGTAACCACACCCCAGACTGACCAGTAACCACACACCAGACTGACCAATAACCACACACCAGACTGACTATTGTAACCACATGCCAGACTGACCAAGAGTCACACACCAGGCTGACTAGTAACCATACACCAGACTGACCAATAACCACACACTAGACTGACTAGTAACCACACACCAGACAGACTATAGTAACCACACACCAGACTGACCAAGAATCACACACCAGGCTGACTAGTAACCACACAACCACACACCAGACTGGCCTGTAACCACACACCAGACTGACAAATAACCACCCACCAGACTGACTAGTAACCATACAACCACACACTAGACTGACTATAGTAACCACACCCCAGACTGACCAGTAACCACATACCAGACTGACCAATAATCACACACCATACTGACTAGTAACCACACAACCACACACCAGACTGACTATAGTAACCACACACCAGACTGACCAAGAATCACACACCAGGCTAACTAGTAACCACACACCCACACACCAGGTTGACTAGTAACCACACACCAGACTGACAAATAACCACACACCAGGCTGACTAGTAACCTCACACCAGACTGACTAGTAACCATACACCAGGCTGACTAGTAACCACACACCAGACTGACCAAGAATCACACACCAGGCTAACTAGTAACCACACACCCACACACCAGGTTGACTAGTAACCACACACCAGACTGACAAATAACCACACACCAGGCTGACTAGTAACCTCACACCAGGCTGACTAGTAACCATACACCAGGCTGACTAGTAACCATACACCAGGCTGACTAGTAACCACACCCCAGGCTGACTAGTAACCATACACCAGACTGACAAATAACCACACACCAGACTGACAAATAACCACACACAAGGCTGACTAGTAACCACACACCAGGCTGACTAGTAACCACACACCAGACTGACAAATAACCACACACCAGGCTGACTAGTAACCACACACCAGACTGACAAATAACCACACACCAGGCTGACTAGTAACCACACACCAGGCTGACTAGTAACCACACCCCAGGGTGACGAGTAACCACACACCAGACTGACTATAGTAACCACACACCAGACTGACCAAGAATCATACAACAGGCTGACTAGTAAACACACACCAGACTGACTAGTAACCATACACCAGGCTGACTAGTAACCACACCCCAGGCTGACTAGTAACCATACACCAGATTGACTAGTAACCACACACCAGACTGACCAGGAATCACTTACCTGAGATCCATAGACATAGAGGGCATAGTGCTGTGGATGTAGAATCATGCCATGGGGCTGAAAAGTTTCAGGAAATGTAAAAGATTGATAAGCTGTCTGCTGTGCACTGCATATACCCATTGAGTGATTACATTCAGTGACTGATAGACTATTATATCCTGTTTCCTGAAAGATATAAACATGAATAATCTGGTGGATGGAGCTACATGTACATGTACATCACAGAATGTTCTATTTTGCTTCACTTTACGCGCACCACTTTACAGTGTAATTCTATGCACAAGGTTTTGTGGAAAGACGGTCAAGGAGTTGGCAGGGTGTTAACCAGCCACCAGCTAGTCCACCCACCAAATGGACTGGCAACTTTTGCCCATTTTTCTGTTTTTTCCTATTGTTCTTTGATAATTTTACCAAAATACATCCAAAATCATCTACATTTCCATGAAGTTGAATTGTTTTGGACTGGCAGTTGCAAATTGCTGGCTAATAGCCTGGAAGTTAGAGAAAACTGTCAACTTTGCGGTAATCTTGAGCAACCAAATCTATATATGTTGTACATGTAGGGGTAGTCTTGTTACATTGTTCATGGGAGTCTCAAAAACTAAACCAATGTGCACTTTTCTGAGAGTTTTGGACTTTTGTTTACACTCGTGATTGTTGCCAGGCGATGACAATGCCCAGTTGTTCGCTTTCAGAATACTGTCATACCAGGTCTTACATGTAAATCTGTGCAATCTGTCAAATCAAATGAATAGAAATTTCAGATATGGCTTGATCTTTGGTAACTTTGTTTAAAACAAAATGGCTGAGTCAGCTATTTTCAATCTGATTAGAAAAGAATCATCACGTTTTATAGAAACCTATCTATCCATGTAAATTTAGAATCCAGTAACAGAGTAACAGATACAAATGAAAATATGTACTTTAAAATAAAATATCCAATGAATTAAATACCTTTGATGTCTTTATTGCAATCACTGCGTCTTTCTCATTGTCATATAAAAGGGAAATGACATTATAGTCGACGACTGGTGTATGCCATAGTATAAATGGTGGCTGACTAAGAAAAACATTCTGTTGAAAAGAATACATCTACAATATTATGTCAATCACTTTATGTAACAAGTCATAACATGACATTGTTTCTGTTGGTTTAATATTAGCAAAACTAGTAGTAAGCCATCTTGGAATGGAACATTGAACAAATGACTTATGTACAATGTAGTTGTAAATTTTGATTGTGAGCAGTCTATGTTTGTCAAAGACATGAGAACAGTATTTGCATTTGATCATTTTGGATCCTATCTGAAAAAAAAAAATTATGGTCCCATTATATGTAAAAAAAAAAGTATGGATGTCTATTTATAAGATCTGGGTCTGGAATACTTGATTTTGATGCACTTTTAAAATAAAAATGGACACCATTTAGCTATCTTGAATTAAATCTTAAAACAAGTACACATGCATATGTGCGAAAAGATGAGATCCAAACAAAAACGTGACTTATCGAGGGTCGCGATTTGGCAAAGGGTCTCATGAAAGA